ATCCTTAAATGATAATCTTGACCTTAAATGATAAAAAAACATCTTGAATAAACATTAATAGTTTTAGGATTTCAACAAGAAAAATAATAATTTCATTTCAGAACTTTTGCAGTACAACAATCTATTTCTAAAAATCAGTCATGATGAGTATCGTATCATTTATTCTGGCATAAAAGAAAACTACTTTTAGTTACTAGAGATCTCAATAAAGCTAAGGATCATCAACTATACTCATATTTTAATGATGAAAGTAATCATAACTATAAAGGAAAACCAAATTTCAATTTTATACTAGAAACTACTGACTTCAAGATAAAAATTGTGTTAGCTAGTAGCCTCGAACTATAGACACTAGCTTCTTATAACCAAGTTACAAACTTGATTTCCATCTTTTTCTTTCATTACCACTGAATTAAAAAGGAAAATTAATAAAATAAAGTAAAGAATTAAAGTATACTCACGATTTTGTCTATGAAGAAGAAACCAAAATTATCACTTTAAACACTAATATGTATAACTATTAAATAAAAAGTACCTATTAGTAAACTAAATATATTACTAAAACAACATAATTAAACTTTTAAACAAAATATCACTAATAAAATAAGAGTCTGTGAAGAAAAAGTGGTGGGGGATTGAGATAGCCTAACATAACTGTAACCTAAATGTAAACAATCCTCTAGAATAAGCGTCCCCACTCCTCCCCAAAAGGCTGCGGGCATCATCGGAATTATTACCGATATTAGCACAATCCAAAGAGTAAGGCACTAAGCAGATAGAACTATTTTTCGTTGTATATAGACTTCTCTATAACCTCCCTTAAAGTGAAGCCAGTCTCAATTTTCAACTTCTCTTCCAATGTGCAACTTGAGTTTCTCAATCCATATCGCTCTGGGAATCGACAATATTTCTTATTCCAGCTTCTACAATTCTTGAGTATAATTTCTTTCGTACACTAAACAGGAATGGATCTTGATGGGTATTGATTGCATTTCCTAGTAGCTGCTTCCTTGCAAGGATAAAAACTACAGTTCTTTAATATTATTTTCTAACATACTTGTTGCCTATGTATGCGCTAAACTGTGCGAAGCAGTTCGGTTTCGCCCTTTCCATCTTTCTTTGTGCAGAGAGAATAATGCATTCAATATTAAAAATTTTTATTTTTTTTATGATATGGTACAACTTCCGAACAATTTATTCCGCAATTTCTGAACAATATCGAGCTATAACTTATATAAGATTTCTTAAAAAATCTTTTGCAAATGCACTATGAGCTATAACTCCATATACCTCTCTTCATCCTGCTTCAAAGTGAAGATAGTCCCAATATGCACCTTCAGAAATCGAAAATAAAATGGTTTTCACCATAATAAACCTACATCGTCCACTTAATATCATACAAACTGCAATTGAACCCCTTTTAGCAGCATCTTGAAATATTCTCTTCATCTGTCTACTATACATTCGTTTAGCCATATAATGGATACTGGTACTTTTTATCTTTTCCGAGGTTTTGGCACTTCCTTTCTCGTTCGCTAAATGTATTTTTCCAGTTTTCGGGTTCAATTTCGCGTTTTTCCTCATTTCAAGACCAAATCCAAACAATCAGTTCTGGTTTATAGAATAATTTATAGCGTCACCGTTTCTATCTTTCTTTGTGCAGAGAGAATAATTCATGCAATAATAAAATTTCCTATTTATTTATGATAAGTCCAACTTCTGCACAAAATAAAGGAAATAAAAATTAATTTCTTAATTAGTGATATATGAGTTTTACTATATAACCCAGCAGCTATTCATTATATATAGTTCAGATTAGGTATATATTATTTTAGTTTATAAAACAGGTATTAATACGACTCATTTCCTGGGAAGTATATAAAAATTTTAATTACCTTTAAGAATCAGTAAATATACAAAACACAGTGTTAAATTGCAAACGTTAAATAAAAAAAAATCAAGATATTTAGCAAAGTTTTTTAATTAAGTTTTATTATTATAATTATATCATTTTTACAATTAAGGTCTTCTTAAACGACCTACGTGTAGAATAAAGAAGGTTAAATTAAAAAAAAAATAATAATAAATTTTTTAAAAAAAATTTAATTTTTTTTTTTACAATTAAATTATTGCATTAATATTTGTTCGTTAATAAAACCAATATAATGTACCAAAAATGTTATTATATCACTTTAACTAAGCCATTTATGTGTACTGAATGGTGTGGTAGAGGCCTGTAAGCACCCACGCCAGTACCGCTTTTCTGCCGCATAAGTGCATTTTCTACGGAACTGCTTAAAAGTTTTTAAAAAATAATCAGCGTTTTGGAAAGAGAAATATATTCTCCAGATGGTTTATTTCAGCACGTTTTGCGTTATTGTAGGCCGTTTAATTACAAATGACGCTTGATTTTTAACTTTAGTGGTGTTTTTCATAGCCTAAGCCAATTATTTTTTAATATTTCTTCATGGTTTATTATTCTATGACTATTCAGCTTTAATAAAAGACCAACTATGAGGAAATTAAGCCAAATGCTGATTCTCAGTGACCAAAAAACTAACTAAAGTCAAAGTCGTCAATCCGCCATGTTTGGACGCCATTTTGGGGCAGTGCGTTCACTTTTTTTTGTGGGAACATTGGCTTTTTTTTAATAAATAGTCACAAGGAACACAACGATATGCAATTTATAGGGATGTGGGGGGGGGGGGGGGGGTGCACGGTAAGGGGGTCTGGCCCACCGTGTATTACCCTTACATATTACTTACCCTTATATTACATATGTAATATATAGTAAGGGTAAGTGAAAATAAAAAGCTATAAAGTTGGGTTCCACACACATTAAACGACCACTAAAAAAAACAGCATTATGGAGTTTGTGCTACACTACTTTGCCGTAATAAAAACGACTCTTTTCTATCCAGAATTGTTACTTGCGATGAAAAGTGGATACTTTACGATTACAGTAAACGTTCTGGACGGTGGCTGGATAAAGGAGAAGCAACAGAACATTTTCCAAGGCCCCTAACTCATCACAAAAAGGTAATGGTCACTATTTGGTGGGCTTCACTAGTGGATTCAGGATTTAGTTTTTTGGGGGGGAGGGGCGTCAGCCCGGAAGCTTTTTGTTTTTCATATATATAACGATAATTACATTGGAAAAACAGAAAGATACTAACTGCTTATATGAAATGGTGTTTAAGTGATTCTTAAAGCCCTATTAAATTTAATTAAACGAGCAATAATACTTAAAGACATAACTTTTTTATGTTTTTTACCATGAAACATGGTTACATTTTACCATTTTGAAGGGGGGATAGGCTTCAGCCCGAAAGCGCCCCCCATAAATCCGCCTGTGGTGGGCTTCATTTGGTTTGATACACTACAGCTTCTTAAAACCTGCAGAAACCATCAACATCAAGTCGTATTGTAACCAAATTAATGCAATGCATCAGAAATTGGCAATAATTAAGCCATCTTTGGCCAATCGGAAGCGTCCTTCTTTTGCATGACAACCCCTGGCATCATGTTTCACTGTGTGATGCCATCAAAATTGTTGCAGTTTGGACATGAAACTCTGCCACATCCGCCCTACGATTATCATATTTTTTAGACACCTGGACCACTAATTACGCGACAAAACATTTAATAGACAAAGAGAATTATAAAATGCGTTTTTGGAGTTTACTAATTCCAAAAATGGGAAATTATATTCTGAGGCAATGAAAAAGTTGCCAACATGTTAACAGAAATGTATTGATAGTAGTGGAGACTATTTTGGTTAAATAAAACAGTTGTAAATCTTTCTTTTTAAACCAAAGTCCTGCATTATTTTCCTGACAATCCAATACAAAACATAATTTCCTCCATATTTTATTTTATTATTTAAAATTAATATAACTCATAAATTAGCGGTTTTGTTGTTGTCTTTCTATTTTTTCAATATGGAGCAGAAGGTGTAACATTTCAAAAACCTTATCGATAATAAGAACTGAAATATGCTACTAAAAAAATTTAGAAATAAAAAATCATGAGGGTCACTTCAAGTTCAATGTTAAAACATTTAAAAACGAAATTGACAAATTATTTTCTTTTCTGAAATGTTCAAAACTTGAAAATAGAATCTAATTCTCAATGAAAATAAGGCAATAATGACCCTAGTGGTTAAAGCCTTTTATTTAAAAAAAAGAAAGCATTTTTTTAAGTTGGAATATTTATTAACAGGAGCTAGGTTGTTGGATGATTATTAACAATTGCTTGAAGCTTTGTGATAATTGTTTCTGCATAATTTAAAAAAATTATGTTTTTAGATTCACCAGCAGTGTCTGATAGTTTCCAACACATGAGTTTTACCTTTAAATAACAAAAAGATTTCAAATTTGAAACAGAAGCTAAGCTACACTCTGAACACAAAATTTGATATTCGCCGACAATTTTTAATCAAATGATTTTGTAATTTTGTACAACCAATTCTAAGGTAAAGAGATTTTTTAAAAAACACTTATGTTGAATTTGTTGGCAAAGTTGGTAAAAATTGTCATTTATCGACTATCAATTTCAACTATGTTTTTATAAAGAGGATGAAGATGGGTCCATAAGAAAAATCTTGCATTGGGGCACAGTCTGCCTTACTGAACCAACTGTATTCAGGGAATACAATTCGATGGTTTTAGCAAGAAAATCTTTGGGTCATATCTTATAATTATTCCAATTGTGAGAGGATAATGTTAATTGTTTTGGGGATAGTATAGGCAAAGGTAACAGTTTAATTATAATTATAAAAAACCAGCTTTAACTATCGGAAGTCTGGAATTTTGGAGAATATTAATACAGACATGCAATGGGCCTTCCTTTTAATGAATAAACAATAAAATAAATTACAAACTTGTAAATTATAAGCTGGCATATGTTTTAATTTGTGTAACAACTTTTTATATGCATTAAATTTTTTATTATCTATTTGATTAAAGATACAAACATATAATAATTATTGATATTTTCAGGGTAAATTACCCATTCAGAACTGAAGTAACACGTTGGTATTACCAATCATCTCTTCCTTTTGATGCATCAACACAGGGATCTTTAAAAACCAAATTTGCAGAAAAGAAGTTTTCTTCTTTGAATATATGAAAATCAAAGCTTGTTTCAATAAAAAAATTAAAAGTGTCAGCCTCAGAAGTAAATAACTTAAAACTTTATGTGAAATAAGTTAAGTTTTTAAGGGCTCCCAGAATATAAAATAAATTAGGTATCCAAAGAGCAATATAGTAAATAGATTGAAATTTAAATAATGACTATTATGTTGATTTGAGATCAATGTATAAAATATGATTTAAAAAACATATAAAAAAAAAGTATACTGATAGCAAGCAGGTTAAGATAACAAGACTAACAAAGAATTAGAGAAACGGTACAATAACCCTGATATGGTACTAATAATAATGATGGATAGTCATAGTGTATGGACACCAGATGGAAGATCTTAGAAGAAAAAAAAATTATTTTTAATTTGAAGAGTGGGAAGATCTTGGTTGTGGTGGATCATATGTTCATCAATGTGAGATCCAACTTGGTAATTAATAACTGGAGGGCAGCAGCTGCCAGTAGAGATGACTGGCAGACCAAACTGACTCTCTGTCAGTGATAGCACCACCATTTAAGTTAAGATAGGTGTGTTATATCACTTGATCATTATGGCTGGCATCATTAACAATTTCAAAAGTAGAAATAATCATTAATAAACAAATAGCACAGGATTATACATAAAATATTGGAAAACAATAGCCAAAAATACAGAGAAGGCTATTCAAGGAGGTAAGAAATAAGAACTAGTTGGTAAAGAGCCATCATGTCAACGTTGTTTGAGCATCAGAACATTGTGAGCTGCTGTTTCATCCATTCTCATACACTGTTACTCAGACTTGGTTTAACATTAATCAAAGATACAACTGTGATGAAGACATACTTTTTTGCAGAGTGAGTTGAAACAGAAAAAGAACAAGCAGCACATAAGATATTTGCACATAACATTAATTCAAAAATTCATCTTATTCCTTCATTCAAAAAAGTTCTATGAACTTCTTGCACCAATCATGCCAATCAAGAAATAAGACATATTTCTTCAATCAATACCCAGTGGGGAACTTTTTCATCAAAATCAACTAATCAAAAGTACCTTTAATTTGGTTTCTTTAAAATAATTAACCATTTCAAATTGTTACTAGTAATAAAAAATGGTCAAATATAAAGTATAATACATATAAATTTAAGTCAAAGATTTTATAATTAATTAAAAGACAAATAAGGGTTAGTAAGATGGAACCAAGAACAAATTAAGGCGACTCAGAAAAATCAACGAGTGCTCGTGAAATTTCACGATTCCTAATATGCATAATATGACAATAGGAGCTCCAATCGTATATATCCGGATTGCATAAATGATAATTTCGAAATCAATCAATTAATTAAGTTTAAGTTTTTATATAGAATTTTAGTCAGAATAGTTTAGAAAAAGGATTAGTAACTACAACTCATTTTAAAAATCCATATAATGTACAAATACATATATAATTATAAATCTCATTATTTGCACTTCATTTTTAAATTATAAATCCTAAAAATTACAATTCTTTAATGGATGGAGAACTTAAAAAAACATGACAAAAAAAAAAAAGAAAGAAAAAATAGTATCACTTGTAATATTACTTTCATCAATAGCCTATAAAAGAAATGTACACAGTATAATAAACTTATAATTGAGGATAATGGAATTATGATCACAGGGTTTGATGAATAGTACAGCTGATATGCAAGGGTGGTGAAAGCACCAATATCAAACAGGATCCGCTTCATGGGCTTCACACGGTGTCCTGCTCTCTTTGTGCTTGGTTTCTCTGAAATAAAGATATTAAAATTATAATTTTCATATAAAAATAAAAAGTCTAGGATTTATCTGAATGTACATAATGAAGTATATTCCCAGGTGATTCCAGAGGAATCTATGTATCTAGAGGTGCATTGAAGTATGTACCTCAAATGCAGAATTCATTGAAGAACCTATATCTGTTTTATTTTACGGGGACCGGAAAGTAATGTTATTTCTGAGCAGGTCACCATTTTATTGTAATTTGGCAGCTCATTGTGTACATCTAAGTTGTGGCAAAGGCGTTCCCAGGTTATAGTGACTTGTTGAGTTGTAAATAATTAAATTAAAATTTTTGTTTGTGATTTTCGGTGAAATGGCCAGCCAAATACTAGAAGAGGTACATATCCGCCATGACATGCTTTTAGAATCTCACAAGGGTAGTAATGCACCAGTTGCTACCAAAAACATTTAACAATACAAATGCATTAGATATTTGTAAATACCAAAGGTGGTTTTCTAAATTCAAATCCGGTAATTTTTACCTTTTTACTCATATCGAACAGGAAGACCAACAACCTTAAAAAATGAGGTGTTAAGGGCAGAAATGGAAGCAAATCCATGTCAGGCAATCAAAATAGTCAAACAGTCTTAACCAATCTTGGTCAACTACACAAGAACATTAGCAGTAGATCGGGAAAGCCACATGCAACTTATTGTTGCAACGGTACAATACAGAAGCGTTTATTGATCCCTTGATCACTGGAGATGAAAAATGGATCCTCTACGATAAACCAAAACGCAAAAATTAGTACCTCTCTCCAAATGAATTGCCATGAAATACTGCTAAACCAGATTTACACTCCAAAAAGACCCTTATGTGTGTTTGGTGGAACATTCGCGGCATTATTCATTTTGAAGTGCTGAAATCTGGACAACTGTAAACAATTGAGTCATGTAAATCCATCTTTAATTGAAACGTGGCTAGTGACTGTCGAAAGAAAAGGCATCATTCTGCAAGATGAACCCAGAAAACTGATAAAAAATTGCCAACCAGAATGAAGACAACTAATTAATATCACCTCTCTGGAAGAGATAAACAGTACGTATTTATGTTTCTGTTTGCCAGGAACAATATACAAGCAGTTTATCATATATAGTTTACGAAAATTGAAACAGGATACTGAAGATTAAAACTAATTAATTTTCTAACTTTAGCTAAATTTACTGTGAATAACATACAGACCATATGAAATATCAGATATATTTGTTTAGTTTCCATTAATTCTTGACACTGGGCATAGAAATATTAAATATACTTGTTTGACATCCTAAACATTTCAATATTTCAATTGTTTTGCTTAATCTTACAGTTTTAAAGATTGGAGGTAGTAATTGTGTTTCAATCATTAAAATACTTTATAAATTAAATTGAAAATAAATTAATAGAAAAAAAAAAGATGACTTACTTGGATTCTTGTTCAATATTTTTCACCGCTGTTGTGTTGTCTTCGCTAACAGCATTAGTATTCACTTTCTCAGAAATCATACCTTGTATAGATAGAAACCTATGGAATAAGAAATTTAAGTTGAAGAGAACCCCATATCAAACATGTGTTTTTCCTCAACTACAAGTAAACAATGATTTTTCAGGTTTCTTTTTTTTGTTTTAAACAACCTTTGTATCCAATATCAATGAATTCAGTTTAAAAAGTTTTATAAAAAAAAAAACTTAGTCAGAAAATTGTATTTAACATTTTGATATTTTTAATTTTAATCTCTAACTATGGGTCTTTCCACTGTTCAGGATTGCAACCTCAAGGACTCTTTATTACCTAAAAGGTTTACTTTTGAATTTCTAACTTAAAATAAAGTTTAGATAACTCATCTTTACATAACTTTTATGTTACGTACTTTATAAAAAAGGCTATGGTTGAATTTTAGTAGTAAATTTAATAATTGATGAGCTTTGGGAAAATTATGTCTGGGGCCTTAGATTTATCTTAATGTTCCTGCCACTGTTTCACTAATAGTTTGGAGCTTTTCCATGACAGGTATCTCGCAATAGAGTTTTTTTTATTTTGTTATCTGAAATGAATGGGTATGAATTCAATATTTTATTAGGGAATAACTAAAAAAAAATACACATTTTTTTTCATTGATGATACCAATATTAATTTGAAAGCTTCCTGAATAACCTACAAAATAAAAATAAAAAATCATCGAAATCGGACAATTTGTTGCAGAGATATATCATTTTAAACATTTAGTACTTTTGTTTTGCAAAGTCGATTTCCATTATTTTGGTTTTTGATAAATCTAAAACTTTACATTTAATGAAGTAATCAGGACTATTATTTGAAGAGATAATATTATTGAATATTACCTCATAAATTAAATTTTAAAATAAATTCTATAGTTATACTTATTCTTAACTTAAATACTGCACAAGCATTAGTAGTTAATGGAACACGAATGAGAATGAAGTACTAATGGGAGCTACATTAAATAAAATAATTTTAATTTCAAGAATTAAATTAAGATTTTCTGACACAATACTCTTCCATTCGAATTTCAAAGAACAACGTTCTTATTAATAGCTGCATTTGCTATGACCGTAATCAAATCGCAGGAAAATTTGTGTATTATTGCGACGTTCAGTAATTTCACATGGACAATTATATGTGGCAGCAAGTTCATTTAAAATTTTGAAATTTTACTTGCTTAATCATAACATTAATTTATTGTGATGATAACACACATAAATCAAAATGGAAATTAAATATTTTGAATGAGTCTATTTTGTATTACTTATAAATAATTTTAAGTAGTTTAAGCTCGATTTTTAATTGAAATTGAAATTTTGTTTATATAAATAAATGAAAATTTTAGAATCGTGATTTACTCTTTATTTATTGAATTAGTTGTTTATTTAATTATATGTTTTCCTCAAATTTTTAATGGCTATGGTCGATTTTCGACCACTGGGCGAACACTACTTATTTTTATTGCTAATAAATGCGTCAATCAATCTTCAATATATAGGCTTTGAAGCATCGATAAGTTTTACATATGTATAGGCTTCATTTCCTGTACTTTGTTAACTTCATTCATATTCTTATATTTTTTATTGAATTACTTTTGTTCTAACTGACGGGAAATGTCAGTGAATTTGGCGAGAAAACTATACTGACCTTACTTGGTAAACGTTTTTTTCTTACCCTTCCCTCCTCCTAATTTGGCAAATACCGATATTCCAAAGACCAATATATCAGCCTTAGGACTGCCAAGGTCAAAAGCTGGATATATCGGTCTATGGATTGAATGAAAAAAGATTGGGAAGAAGACAACCACAAAATTAAAAAAATATATATCAAACTCTTATTAATCTTGATAAAATTAAATCTTAAGGTCGATATATTGGTCTTTAATTATATTTATATCAATTCCATGGCGATTGATTGGCTCATTTATTATCAGTATAAATAATATTCCTCGTGAAACTCTATGAATTATGATAAAATATGGTCAAAAGGCAGATATATATCGGTCTATGGAATGGACCGAAAAACATTTGGAAGAAGACAAGCACAAAATTAAAAAAACAAAAATTTATCAAACTCAATCAACCTCGATAAAATTAAATCTTAAGACCGATATATTGGTCTTTATTCACATTTATGTTTATATAGATTTCATGGCGATTGATTGTCTCATTTATTATCAGTATAAATCATATTCCACGTGAAACTCATGAATTATGATAAAATAAGGTGATAAGGCCGATATATCCGTCTATGGGATGGACTGAAAAACATTTGGATTAAGACAAGCATAAAATTATAAAAAAAATATTATCAAATTCAATTAAGCTCGATAAAATTAAATCTTAAGGCTCATTATTGCCAGTATAAATAATATTCCATTTGAAACTCTATGAATTGTAATAAACTAAAGACAAAAGGCTGTAATTTTTTTATTTTTTAAAATAAAGTCTTGAGCTAATGCGTAAGCTCACAACAGCCGTTACCCGGCTACCCGATATATGAGATGATTTTAAACAAATAGTTACGAATTCGCATCCCGGTGCCATAGGGAGATTTTTAAATCTGACTCGCGGAGGGCGGTAATAATTTCTATACCAACTGTACTAATTTCAATAAAATGAAGTCATCAGGCCGATATATTGTGATGATTGATTGAAATTTTCATTCAGCAATTACGAGACTTTCCTATGCGACGTTTTACTGAACTATACATTGGCTTTGTATACATCTATATAAACAGACATAGGCTGATAAGCTGAAATATAGGTTTATCTATCTTTTATTGGTCGAAATTGTGTATAGGCTGATGCATAGATAGTCTATTTATTCTTTTATTTAGCATTAAGTACGATATTATAAGTGAAACTGTACAAATCTTGATGGAAAGCGAAAAAAAGGCAGATATATCATCCATATCGGAAAAGAAGAAAATAAATAAATAAATTTTATTCTAGGATTAAGTCTCCTTAGAATAACTACCATGTACAATTTAATGACAATTGTCTAGCATTAGAAATAAATTGAATTACAAGGTTATATAGATCTAAATTTAAAATAAAGAAAAGGCACTGGTTGACATATGAAATTATAGATAAATTCAGATGAGCGAGTTCACATATTTATATACATAAACAATGTGGATGATATATAATTATCTGTAGGATAACATTAAATGTGACTGACAGGTCTAAAAAACGTGAACATTATTTTACACATATTCGGAAGATTGACTGCTGAGGAGGTGGATAGATAAATTATGTTTAAATAAGGTCAAGGATGAGGATTTGCAAATGGAGATTGGTAAGGAATTCCAAAACAAGGTAGTACGTATGACAAAGGATTTTTTAAAGGAAATAGTTCTATGAGAAGGAATAAACAGGTTTGAGGGTGTGTTGAACGAATGGACAGAGGAACAAGGAATAAATAAATCTAGAATTTAAGAGGGTGTTTTGGTTGAAAAGGTTCGAAAAAGTAATAGACCTAGGAAGTATTGCAGCCAGAAGACTGGATAGAGCCACTTCAACTCTGCATCATTAGATCATCTCTAATTAAAAGTGATACAGCTTTTTTTAACCAATTACACCATTAGTTTGAATTGTTTTAGTTTAATTAACTTTACTAAAAAAGTAAAATTATAATATATTATAGTTTGTATAATAGTTTGTTCGGCCCTCCTTCCCTACCCCTGAGGAAGTAAAATTAATATAAATTAAATTGACTTAATATCATACCTAAAGTTATCAATTAGGTCTTCTTCTGGAAGAACATCCTCCAAAACTAAATCATTAGCGTTAATGTTCCTATTACAACTTTCTTCTCCATCGAACTGACTTAAGCTCATTTGTTGAGATTGAACAGCAGATGCAATATCAGGCTCTTTATTATCTGTAACTAAACACATTAAAATAAAAACTCGTTTCATATGAGCAAAATAAAAAAAATATTTTAGACAAATGCATCATAGATAATGTTTTAAAACATACTTGAAGGAAAAAAGTAAGACCGAAGGCAAACTGGAAAGACGAGGTTAAAGGAAATCTGATGAGACATAGGATCAGAAAAGAGCAAGCCGTGAATCACGAACTATGGGAAATATTCAAAGTGACATATAGGTCAAGGAAAACTACAACAGTGGAAAATTCCTTTATAAAAATATAAAAGAAATGCTATTTTAAAAATGAAAATATCACCCATGTTAGGAAAAACCTCGGTATGATTAGGTCGAAACACTTGCACATTGTGAGACACAGGGGAGGAAGAAAAATAAGAAGGTTTTAATTTATGAAATGGTTTATCTAAACAATATAACGTTTCTAGGAATTATATTTGTGGAATTGATAAGACTGCTGTTCCCTATTCACAATGGGGTCAATCGCCAATCTAGGAGAACAAAAACCATTTTCAAAATATGAGAATGTAATATTGCATCCTTTCTGTAAATAGTTGATGTCCTAAAAAGTGCTTTAATAAAATTTGCAAGTTCATTTAATTTTGTTTTTATTTCGTAGCATTTTTTATATTCTTTCCAGATATATTCATAAAATTTTGTGCAGCTTTGTGCTAAGCACTGTTTTTTTAATTGTTTCAGAAAACATTATGAATTATATAATAAAACTTATTATAATTATTATGGTGCTACGGTCCTGCAAGAACCTGGGCCTTCTCCACTACAGCCAACCAATCTCCATGGTCTTGTGCTATTTCCCTTCATCTTCGAACGCCCAGCCGCCTCAGAGTGTCCTCCATATCCTCCAGCCATCTGATCTGAGGGCGCCCTCAATTTCTTTTGACATCCAGCTTCTTATGCAGCATCCTCTTTGGCATTCTTTCCACATGACCTAACCATCTAATTCTGGCTCTTTTTATAAATGCCTCAATATCAGCCTCACCATGAAGTTTCCGTCCAATATTCTTCTTAATACTTTTCTCTCCCAGGAGTTGAGCGTACGTTCTGAGTTTTTGGTTAAGGTCAAAGTCTCACACCCACACATAACCACTGGCCTTACAATGGTATTGTAGATAAGATTATATAGACAAGATAAAACTTATACAGGTTTGAAAAACAATGAAGAGAAGGGGGCTTAGGGAATCGTCTTGTTTTACTTCTTTTTCGAGTCTAAATATTCCTGACTCTTTTCCATTCAGGCGTACAACCCCTTTCAGGTCTTGATATGTCGATTTTATAGCCCTTCATTGTCTAAATGTCTGCCGGATGCACCACCACAGAGACCCAGTTAAAACCCTAGAGGTGAGGCCGATGGGGAGAAGACCGAGAGGGAGACCAAGAACCTCATACGTTAGTCATTTGGAACGAATTGGAAGACGAAGAGGGAAGACTCTGGAAGAAATGAGAAAGGAACAGGGATGGATGGAATCAATGGCTGGAAGCACCCCCACGCTGAGAGGCAAATGGGTGGAAGAGAAAGAAGAAGAAGTTTGAAAGACAATGTAGTACTATTTTCATAAAAAAATAATGAGTGTTACAAAAATGCTCAGAAAATAATTTTCTTTTTTTTAAAGAAATAAGTCATAGCTGAAGCAACTTTTCTAAACCTGATAACAACTACCAGTCTTCTCAACGTTTTGAGGGAACAGGGAAATCAAATAATGTTTTTATGTATGGTTGAAAAAAACAAATCAGGGTTAAGTACAGGATATAATACAGTAAGGGTGCCCACAAAGAGGTTATATGATAATATGACACAAGTTACACCATCAACATTTTTGAGGGAGCACATTTTTAAGGGATATGTCTTCTTAAAGGGGGCATATATTTACAAACTGTATAGATAAGGAAAAAAAAAAAAAAGAGAAGAAAATAAAAGAGAAATTTAAATTGCAGTTAGGAAGCAATTATGAGGGATTTCAGCCAGAGGGCAAACTTTCGAATGATGCTAATTATAAAGTTGAGGAAATAGATTAAATTAATATGAATATTTCCATACTGAATTTCTTTTATTAATATTATTGTTATTTTTGACAATTATTTGGAATTATGACTTTGAATTTTCTTTAAAATTAAATTTGCACCATCAATTGAACATATATTGACTTAATTAAGACTATAAAAGTTTTATTTGTTATAAAAAAAAAACTATATATATATACACATACACACACACACACAATCCATAAGAAAACTACTAACTGGGTCTGGGTCCTAAAAAACAAGAGCATTTAGCATTTTAACCAACTTTTAAAAATAATAAAAAAAATTACAAATTGTATAAAATCATACCAATTTGATGTGATTCAGGAACTGCTTCAAACTGTACATCAAAAGATGTGAAATCTGCCCAACCTTCTTCATTAGAGATGTTATCAGTTCTTTTTGTTTCACTCCAAGGATCTACTTGTTCTACCAGAGGTAAGGCCCCTAGATAAAGAATGATAATAATATGTGTCTTGTAATTATTCAGAAGAAATAAGAAAATTTAGTTATGCTTATTTTTAGTTTTGAGTTAGTTATTTTTTATTTTTCCATTCACTAATTTCAATAGATTGCCCAAAAATAAAGTTCCTGTATTACATCAGATTTAGCTATTTTTGGTCAAATAACAAAGAAAGGCTTAAATAAACATAGTTGATGGGGTTGAAGTACAAATCAATCTTACATAAAATATAGTAAGCCATGGTTACACCAACCATATATTACACTTATATCCTATAGTGATAAAGATGGAGATGTTGTTGACCGTACATTGAATAGTTGGAGAATTTGTTTGGGAGAGCTGCCATAATTCAAATTAAAAATAAATGAGAAGTCTTATTTTCTTATGTGCTAATATTCCAGCCTTCATAAGGGCAAATTGAGTCAGGATCTCAAGGCAAAATCACTTTTCACACAATGAAATATTACTTACTATGTGTGATATTACAAAATTTTATTTATGACCATAACCCCAACAACTTTCCCTACTATAAATATATTTCTGGTTGCTTTAGTGGGGCATCATGATTTAAAAGATGATTTAAAAAAAAAAATTGAATTATAATAATTAAAAAGATTATTTGATACACGATTAAGGCATACCAGCTGAGTCGTTCTTTTCTTTTGGGCTTGTTAGTATCTTATCTTCTTCATCAGAACTGCTTGAATGATCTTCTGAGTTATTCCACAAGCTAAAAATATGAACAAAAAATTGCTTCAAAAATATTACAAAGCTTACGTAAAAAGTATAACAAATATTTTAAGTGCCCTCGTTAGTAATTAAAAGTAAAAAAAAAACAAAAACAGCATATGAAGGGCCAAGGAGCAGGTTTTAGAAGTATAAATAAGTTAATGGGATATTTAATTTTACCATTAACATAATGAGGAAAAAAATGGTTCAGGGTGGTTGTAAAAAAAAAACTCAAATAGTGTTAACTATTTACTGAAATCTACATTTCAATCCACTTAGCAGAACTTTATCCGAACTAATAAGATATAGTATGTATAAAATATTACACTATATTCATGATTGATCAAATTATCCATTTTTGAACAACTTATTACATTATCTGTTAATTTTTTATAATTATATACTTTTATTATCCAGGATTTGAAATAGATAATTTTTTTTCTTCATAAAATCATGTAAAAATTATTATATTTGTTTTTTAATTTAAAAATCATGCCTGTAATAAATAAAAATTCAAATCAATCTTGGATGTTTATTGATTTGATTTTAAAAATAATGATCACTCACTGAGCGATACACGATTTTACATAAATAATAATGATTAAATTGAGATAACAAAATTTTTGATCTGAAAATAAATAGTCCTATCATAAATATTGTAATAAGGAAATATATATATATATATATATATATATATATATATATATATATATATATATATATATATAAATATATACATATATATATAGATTTCAACAGAAAAATTAATTATTTCAAAAAATTTTATTAGAAAATAAAACGCATATCTATAGAGAGTAAAACAAAAAGGAATTACTCAAAATGTCCTTCTTTAGCCTTGACACAGGCATTTAGCCTCAGTGGCCAGTCATCAATAGCAACATACAGCACTTCTTGAGGAAGCGCTCAACTGCTCGGACCAGAGATTGCTTGAGGCTTTCCAAGTTAGGATGTGCTCTGTGGCATGCCATCCTCTCCAGTTCGGACCAAAGCCGAGCAATCTAGTGGGTTGAGGTCAGGGCTTCTTGAGGGCCAATCCGAGACAGAGATGAACTCTGGAATGTTCTTTTGCAGGCACTGCTGAGTTGACCTGGCCTTGTGATCTGGAGCAGAATCCTGCTGGAAAACCCAATGACTTCCAGCAAACAGAGTATCATTTAGCGGCTTGACAACAGGTTCCAAAATATCATCCTGATAATTTTTAGCAGCTGTTTTAACTCATTTTTCACAAAAATGGAGCTTAGTGGTGCCGTCAAAGCAAACTCCCCATCCAACCATCACTGAGGAAGGGTGATGACCTTCACTCTTCTAATGACTTTCTGGGTTTCTTTAAAGCTGAGCTGTGTACGTACATACGATCATTTTGGTGATTAAATTTTTCTTCAATTGTAAAAATTTTCTTTAGACCATTGGTGTAACGGCCAAGGAGCACTTTGCATCTATCCACTCTAATTTTTTTTAGGGAAGTGGTTAGCCTTTGTCTTGTCATTCTTCGAAATGCACCCTTTTTACTATGCGAGACATTGATCTGACAGAGATTCCCATTTCCTGAGACATGATTTGTTGTTTTCAGGATTTCTTCTGAATCGAGCAGCTACTGCTCTCACTACATTTGATGTTCTCAGAGTACGGGGACGGCCCGGTCAAGGTCTGTCACATACAGATAGACTCTCATTATATCTATTTATAGTGTGGTACATGAAAATATGGCTGATACCCAAAGATTACAAAATGTTGAAAATCTCTGACCAACATTTTCCAACTTTGTGTACGACGATCACAGTTATTCGGTTTTCTTTATCATCCCACTGCATGTTAACTTAGTGAAAGAAAAATACAAACTAATTGGGATTATTATCCTGACATGTAAAGAAAATAACCTGATAGAGGTAAGAATTATCTAAATAATACCCACAGATGTACCAGTATAACTTTTGTAACAGTATTTAGGACAGAACTAGGTAAAAATCATCTTTTACACACAACTTAATGTATTACTATGTATGTATATATTATTAATAGAGTGGATTTCCACATTATTGCAAATTAATGAATTTTTTTTTCTCTTCATATTTTTATCCACATCTGTAATAGTCTTGACAATAAGCAGATGTGATCTAGCTAATAAAATAAAAATCTAGATATGAAAAAATTGTTGAAATTTGGTAAGAAAGTTCTGTACACTTAATCAAAAATCAATCGGGTGTCATGGGAAATCACAGATAGACACTCATTGTAGAACAGGTATGAAAAAAATATTTCTATCAAATTATAAAAAACTTAATTCCAAAAAGTTTTTTTTGTAAGTGAATTGGATAAATAGCTTCAACAGTGTATTCCTACAGTTTCTTAGCAATTCTTTAAATTTTAATTTAAAAAAATTTGGAGTGTATAATATTGAAAATTTCAACTTGATTAAAAAATTAAAAGTTTTCATAATCATTTTTAATAAAAGTTAAATATTTGAAATTGGTCTGGTCTATATAATATATAATATATATGTACCTATAATTCCTTCCTTCAAACATTCAACGTTCTGCATTATCTCATTTCTTGTATGTCAGAAATTTACCAATTAACTAATTTAAGAACAATTCAAATTAATATATTTGATTATTTATCGTTAATTATTAGAACCTTATTCTGTAGAGAGAAAAATTAATAGATGTTTCATCCAAGTGTTTGGTGTTTTATATGGAATTTTTTGTTGTTAAATGATAGAAAAGAGTATTAAGTCAAGGATTTATCTAATCCTTATTATTGCTTTAATATCTCTCTCGCTTTTTTCTTTTTTTTTTGTAGAGCCGTCAACCACCAGGGTCATTATCGCCTTGTATCAATGGTTAAATTTTAAGTTTTGGAGAATATCTCTGTCCATTTTAGAAAGTCAAAAAGTCTGTCAGCCATTTGTACATTGTCAAGTAATAATAAAAAGCGGAATAGATATTTGAGAGATATTAAAGAGTGACCTTTCATTCGTATTCTGTAAGGTGTTTCACAGTTAGCAGACATCAGCAGGTCTGGCATTCAGTTGGAGATTCACGAGCCGTCAGACATGTGTGCCTAAACGCAACCTTAGCAGAAAAGTACCTCTCTTCGCCCATTTAGGAAAGATTTCCATGGAGAGACATCACTTTTAATTTCGCTCAGTTTATTTCAGGGGACAGCTAACCATCTTTGTTTCCAATTTAATTATACTTTTTGTCGAATGAGAGAGAGATATGGAATACCGTCACTTATTGCATCTTTGGCCACCGCCCGATCATATTGGATGAGCTCGAGGGAAATGTTTGGAAGATACAATGTATCAATCAAAACAAACTATCTTAACTAGAACATTGCAAAAATTGATAGAAAGAATACCAAAAATATGCAATGCTCTGATTAAGGCAAAGGGTGATATTTCGAAGAATAAAAAATTGGGCAATGCTCGAAACTTGTAAATAAAATTATAGTTGTAATGTAACAATTTTTCTTGTATTTATCAAAATAAAGCTGTTTATTATTATTTGAGACATACAAATTTTGTTGTTTATTTTACAAAATCCAAGTGTGAGTCTAAACTTTTGACCAGTAGTGTATATAAGTAAGTGAAAGTAAAAACATCACACATCCAATTATCAATGCATTGGAAAAACACCAGCCATCAATGCAAGTTCAAACCTGTGCTTTTAGTAGAAATATAATGGCTATATTTTAAAATATTTACTTGAAAGTTTAGTGAACAAGCTATAAACATTTTTTTACAACAGTTATGAGAACACACTTTGCAAGTACTATTGGTAGGAAAACTGTCTCAACTCTGAGAATAGGAATCAAGAAATGAGTTACCTAACTAAAAATTATATATCCTGGAGGATATATACAGAAGTATGATATCCTCCCCCCTCCATTCCAACCCTTAAAATTGAAGTGGAAGTTGCAAGAAAGAAAAATCACTTCTTTTTAAAAATTATTTGCGTTCATAGATCCATATAAAATGAGAAATAAAGAAAATAGAAACCAAAACCATTCATGTTATAAATTATAAATTTTATATTTTTCTCCCTAAAAACATTAAATAATTTTTATGAATTGTATTTGATTGAGATTATGAGTTTCAAAACTGGCTCAATTAATTTCCACAAATTTTGAAGTACACCCTCAAAATACATGATTTTGCCATATTCTAAGAATGTAATATGAATATATTTGAATATTACTCCAATGTAACTCTTCTGGATAATAATGCTTTGCAAGAGGTTGTACTGTATTAAAATCTTGTAAAAAATAAAATGAAAACATTTAGTGAGAAGTGTGGATTGAGCTGGTTTTGAAACTAATCACTTCCATTAATATTGGTGATAATCATACTTGTAATCCCAAGAGTCTTCCTCTTCCATCGTAGTTTCCATGTCTTCAAAACCCTTCTTCTGTGAGCAAATTTTTTTGAACATTTCTGCTTTTTGATCATTATCACTATCATCCTGTGAACTTAATTAAAACAAAATATATTTCAACTAATTTTAAAAACAAGCTATGATTAAAAATTTATAACTGTTTTCATTAAAAACTAAAAGTTATTTCAAATTACAACTAGGAAGTGAGATAAAAATAATCAACAATGACTACAATAAATACACGAGCAAGAAGCATACACGAACATTTTCAATAAATTCTTATATCAACTAGGTAGGAGGGTGAATCAAATATAAATGGTAATTGTGTTAAGCACACAGTTTTAAGTTAGGGGAAGAAGAAGGAGATTGATGTTAGGTTTGTGAGGAGTCGGGAACAGGCTTAGTTAGTAATCATGTTTATGATAGTCATGGGATGATCATCTTGGCTTCAGAAAATATAATGCTTAATGGGTTTAAAGGTTGTTGACTAAAAATAAAAAACAGATAAAGTTGAATAAGATAACCAAGAAACCTCTGAATTCATTTACATAAAGAGAGCATTTTATGAGGCATATCATATTATCACATGAGATGTGGGTCCATCATTAAACTTCTGAGTGAAAAATGGTGAAAGAAGGATGGAGGCTTACCAGTGAAGGTAAATTCTAGTCTCAGCTGGAAATGTTCTTGCAATAATTTTTACTTTCACTTACGTATATATGTAATATATAATAAGGGTAAGTATTGCAATCGTGACAATTTTTGAATCCGAGTTTTCAACAGAAATACACGTTTTGTTGTACCCTGAGTCCAAATAACCAAATCCCGAAAAAGGTCTGTGTGTATGTGAACACTAGCTCGAAAACGAAAAGTCGTACTAAACTGATATCACTTATTTAAGATAGGTATATGTCTTAGATGTGACAGCAAGGTTTTCCTTAAAATCGCCTGACCGGAAGTGCCACTTTATGTCAACGCTGAAACACATTTTTACAGTTTTCTCAAACACGGCTATAACGATTTTTATTAAACTCGGTTTATCTTTGTATAATTAAGTTGTCATTAATATCAATCAGGTCTTATCCACATTGATGTCACTTTACAGGGCTTAAATGTCCTATGTTCATACATGTCTTCCTTTAAAGTACCTTTAATATAGTTTATTTTAAAAAAATAATCATCTCAAGTTATTCAGAGTTACGAAAAAGTGCTAAATATAACTTTTGAAAGAATTTGATAATTGAATAAAGGAGAAAAAAATAAAAATGCTTATTCAGGTCGAAAACGAATGCCCGGAAATACTAGTCAAAAGGTATACATATAATATATCGTTAGAAAGCGGAGAATATTAGAAAAAACAATATCTAATATAGAAAGTTCTAGAAGGTAACAGAGAGTAACAAAAAAATTATAAATAATAATTTTTGAAAACTAATAATATTTAACGTAAATCACATGTTTTCAAGGAAAATAAATGAAATTTACTAACTAAATGTAACCTTTTAAAATATTTTTAAGTTTGAAAAAATATTTAAAATCCATCTAATCAAGTCAATGACATAGTTTAAAAAACTATTTCATTGCACTTGTGTGAAAGAAGAAGTAAAATATAAAATCATTTCATGGATGCATAAAGCATATGTTTATAACCTTAAATACATTTACTGTAGTTTAATAATTATAAAGCTGATATATTTAAATAATTAGGTATTAACGTCCCTTTATTCCGATATTTTGTCATGTATCAATGTGTCATTGTCAACTTCCCTTTGTGATATTGCAACAGTATCCACTACTATTTCATTGTACTTGTATAAAAGAAGAAGTGAAATATAAAAATATTTCATAGATACGTTTATGTCAAATATATTTACTGTAGTTTAATAACTCTAAATCTGATATTATATTTAAATATTTAGGTATCCTATCATCCGTTTATTCTGAAAAATCATCATGTGACCTTTTAGAAAATTAAATTAGTGAATAGGATGTGGCACTGCGGGAGGCAGTTGAAACACTGCCTCAAGAGTTGAAACACTCACTCAGTGTTTCAACTGCCTCCCGCAGTGCCACATCCTACGCCCTGAAGATGACCTGCAAAGTGGGTCGAAACGTCGGCAAAAATTAAAATAATTTATATATTTTAATTTTTTTTATTTATTTGACCACACCCTCGATTAACTCCTTCTCATATTATATCAACGGTCAACCATCTCTACATCATTATAAATTAGTGAATAGTTTGATGAAATTTTCTTTTGTGATATTCCAACAGTATCCACTTACAATTACTGTGACAACTTTTGACCTGTCTATGACAGACAATGCAAATCTCTTAATTTCGTTTTAGTAAACTATGCAATGGAAAATAACAGTTTAATAACTAATAGTCGTACAATCCATATTCAACGGAGCGTGCAATCCATAATCAACAGATCGTACAATCCATAATCAACCGATGATATAATAAATAAAACTTTTGTTATTTTAATGATGTTTATGATTTGTTAGCTGTAATTTTTTAGCTTTAGCTCAGTTAAAAATGCAATTAAAATTTTTTATAATAGCCCAACAGAGCCAGAAAATGTTTTCAATTCAAAGTTGAGCAGTAAGTGAAAGTTGTGTGTTGCGCTTTTTTTAAATATGGAGAGTGTTGCTTACTGTCAGGAAAAATCTGGTGCGGTACACACATCACAAAACATTCACTTAGCACCCTACCTTGAATAAAAATAGGTCTTTTCATCATTTGATGTTTTAGGCTCAAAACACCTGAGCCATTAGCGCCCGAAGTATAAAGTAATACTATTGTTAAAATATTTAGCTTATAGAAACTGAAAGTAAAAATCATAGACGGTACAGCATATTATTTAAAATAATTAATTACTATATGTTTTTCTCATCTAATATATTAAATGTATACGTTTTTTGTCACTACCCATTTCCTTTTACGATTATATATTTTAATTATTTATTTAATTATAATAAATAATTAAGCGCCTGAAATTCTTTTTAGCCCGACAAAGGTGTCAGTAAGGAGGTTAGATATTTATTTTTCTTTCATTGTGAGAATAATTTTTGTTATTTTTTATTGCTACAATCTATACAAATAAATATTAATTAATACCAGCACTCGTTATTATATTATTATGCGCTCAGGTTTCTTCGGCAGTTCTCGGCTCCTCATTATCACTCACTCCGAGCGAGCGCGATCATTTCTCCATCCATTAATACCATCTCTCATTTCTCCTTTAGCTCATGATCAATTTTTTTCACTGCTTATATTTAATCATTTTTATTCATTATCTGCAGTGTGGCATAGTTAAGTTTTTTAAACAAACAAAATTAAAGGTACTTTAGAAGACATTTTTGAAAAATTGACATTTACGCCCTTGTTGGAGAACATCAATGAGGATAAAATCTATCTTATATTAAAAATCTGGTACAGTGCATGCATCACACAAATTTCATTTATTAACTTCTTCTAAGAAGAAATAAGTATTTTCAGACAAAGGGGAAGTAAAAGTAAAAATTATCGACACTATATTTATTTATATTTCATTGTGGGTATATTTATTTGTTTAAGTATCTTTATATTTACAAATTTTCATTTTAATATCACAGTGATCTAGACAATTAAATATTAAATAATGACAACGATAGCATTTATGAAAACCGCAAATGTATATGCACATAATATTGTCGGAGTCTGTATTATAATAAGCTCATGTCACATATGAAAGCCCATTCTAATCTTTCAGGCGAGCTTTTAGTTCTATGGTGATTTAGATCCTTTGGTTCCTCCATTACAACTATTCTCCTCTACGATCTCTTATTTTTCTTCTGTTAATTAATTATCAAATTCTTTCATATTTCATATTCAAATATTCAAAAAATAAAAATCGGAGATCAATGTGAAATGGTTAATTATTTCAAATAAAAGAAATAAAAGGTACTTTAAAGGAAGCTAATATTGAAAATTAGCCATTTAAGCCCTCTTAGAGAACATCAATGAGAATAAAACCTACATTATATTAAAAACTTTTTAATTTTACACAGATATAATGAATTTAATCAAAATTTTTAAGAGCCGTTGTCGAGAGAATCATAAAAATGTGTTACATGTATTTCCATTTATTTAATGTAATTTTCACGATTGCAATACTTTCTCTTACTATATGTTACATATATAGGTAAGTGAAAGTAAAAACTTCTCACCAAAATAAAAGAAATGATGAAAATATGATTTATGTAATATCTAATATAATATGTAATGTATATAATAAACAGTAGAAATATAGTAAGCTATCTTTTATTATTAAAAAAAAAAAAAAAATAGACACAGTGATGAATAAGAATTCATCCTTTTATCTAATTGTTTTAAATAATAAAAGATGGGTTACTACATTTCTCAGACCATTAAAATGAAGCCAAAATGAAATAAAACTTTCTGGAATATTTTAGTAAACATAAAAAAAACCTACTTTAAATTTTTACGATCATCAAAAGATGCAAAGTTTTCAATAAAATTGCTAGTGAGAGCTGCATTTGTTCCAAACTCACTGATGCTCTGAAAATAAAACAATTCACTGTCAAAAAAATTCGCACCACAGACAATAATACTGATAAAATTATAAGTAATATTATGAATCCAATATGGAAGATAATGAAACCAACCTGATTGATAGATTCTGTTGAGAAATTGGCATCCCTGTATCCTAAATCATCATCCTTATTATTAATATGAGCAGGATGTTTGCCACCCTATAAATAGTAAACAATTAAATTTATTTCTCATGAATTTAATAATTTTCAGCTGTAGATAAGTTAATCAAAACTTACGAGGAATTGCTGATGGAGAACATTGATAGGCTGAAGTGTGTTTTCGACAAACTTTTCCCAATACATAACAGTTTCTTGATCAATATTCTCATTAATAAAATAAGTGAGATCTTCTTGTTTTATCACAGAGTTTGCAATATTGGTAAGATGACCCATGTAACCTCGTCGTTTGCCACCAACCTTATTTCTAAAAAATAAGAATTACGAAATCGATTCATCTACTAGTTTAATTTCAATAAAATATATTGCTGCCGGATCACTGACCAGTATGTTATGTGAATTTTAGTAATAATAATTGTAAAAAGTAAATAATCAAATATTATGTATGTTATGACTTTATAAATCAATTATTATATATAATTTGTATATAAAAACTTTCGATCAAATTTTTTTTTTGAATTATGGAAATAATCATAATTTTTGTACTAAGATGCTGATTTCCTACTTAAAAATTAGTACTATTAGAGAAAAAAAAATATAATTCTAAGAAAAACGCCTGAATCATAAAGTAAGGTAGATGAAATTTGTGTCTTAAAAAAATTATAAAATAATAAAATTTGTTATTAAAAAAATCTTACTGTTCATTTTCATTTTCTTTCCAAGCTTCCAGAATCCTTTGCAATAGCCGGCATTTGATAAATATCTGTACAGAAATTGAAAACTAAATTAACTACAACCAGTCAATAGAATGAAAGAAATTCAACAATCAGATAATTCTTTACATTGTGTATCAAAGGGTTGTTGCTGGATTCCGATCCACCATTCAATGCAAAAGCTAAACACCTGTCAACTTGAGAATGTAAAAAGTTGTTCCATGTATAATGAAAAAAGAGATCCTGAAAAAATAATATTTATATAATCTTGAACAGATTGTTACACTATGTTAATCAAAATAACTTTAAAATTTGAATTTCTTACAAGTAAAACGTGAACTGTGTCAAGTGAATTCAGTGCTTCATTAACTTCAGGAGTGTTAGTAGAGATAAGTGCAGATATAAATTTAATTACTGTTAGTCTTGTGTTTCCTAATGGAGATTGAATAGGAGCATAACTTGGCAATTCAAACCTAAGAGTTTCAAATGCTTCATATGACTCAAAACGGCTCTGAAACAGAATTTCATGAAGTATTAAGATGCAATTAATTTTATAGATCTACATACATAAGATTTCTAAACAAGATTTTATGGTAATAAATACAAAAAAATATATATATTTATTATAAAGAAAGATATCCATAAATAAATTATAACACCTTCTAACTCAAGTCTTGAACGAAATGAGTTAGGTAGTTAACTAGATTTATTTCTTCACACCCGATGGAATGGTGATCAAGCAAATGACAAATACATGTTTTCAACATTCAACATCATAAGCCATAATATGATTTTTATGGAGACATTTCGAGGCAGTAAAATGCTATGGATTATAAAAAGGATACCATTAGCAACAAATTTCTTTTCTTTCTTTTTACCACTTATAGACTTATGAGAATTGAATTAGGCAGTGTTAGAATTTGTATGAAGATAGAGGTATCTTTTTTGCAGTTTTTAATCAACAATTTCATTAAATAATATACAAGGATCAGAAAATAATTTTTACTTTTATTACATCTTGGGTACAATCAATTAAGCACTAATCTACTCAACACCAAATTGCAGTAATAAAACAATCCAAGACATTTTTTCTCTCTATTTTTTAATTGTGGTATTATCGCTAAGACATAGAACTTGTATTTGGACGTCTCATTTTTGGATATTGGATTTTCAATAAAGAAAATTGCCTGAAGGAAGATTTTATTTCTTTCAATTACACCACATCATCACCAAATGTATTTAAAATGTTTTGATCATTCTTTACATTAATACAGTTCCTAATCTTGAAACTGTTTTGATAACAACCGGATAGCAGAAAAGTAAACTATGTGATCTTTATCTTAATATTAACTTTCTTATAATAAGAAATCTTCCATATGGTATTTATCAGTGAATAAATAAACATTGTGGCTCTGTAGTAATCTTCTTTGTTCTTTAATTAAGTTTTCATCATTCAATTTTGTCATAACATTACATAAAATTTTATGTTAAAAACATAAGGGTTTTCAAATTTGTAATTATATAAGAGTTTCATGAAGGTGTAAAGAAACAAAGCTCCATGAATACCATGGGCTTAAAACAAGAACAGTAATTCATAATGTTTATACTGATTCAAGAGTATCAATCTGAGAATTAACCATACATTCATCCAAAAAATCTAATAGGATAGAAATAATTTGTGGCTGTATGTTTCAAACTGGTTATGGATGCTGGAAAGTTATAAGAATTCATTGATACTAGTCAGAGTCAATTTACTGGATTCTAGAAGCTAACAATCAGTTTAAATAATATCATATCAGTTATAACAGAAAATAATTGGTTTAAAAAAAGTCATAAGAAATCTAACTTACTATACTAATTCACTTAGAGTAAGAAAGTTTTGTTATCCTTTTTAGTCGTTGGTTGCACATAAGATAGATGCAACCTAAAAATAACTATTAAATTATTTATTGCTGTATTAGCATACCCACCAATATAAATAGAAGATTCATGAGTGGCTTCATATCAAAGACGGACATTTGTCATTTTCACTAAGTGGAGAAAAAGTCAATTTTTATTTATAGGTCCAACTTAAACAGTTTCTGATGATTTAATTTAATTAATGAAAAAAAAATCATTAGAATTGCTTTAAATTGAAGCCATGTTCCAGAATATTGGCTTTTTCTCAACCTTTTTAAAAATGACAGATGTCCCTCTCTGATGTTAAGCCACTAATATAGTAAGGATATGATCTCAGAGAACCAGTTGTTGTTATTATGGACTCCGCTCGCACCTATCGAGCCCACTTGTCTCGCAGCCCACCAAGGTCATCCTTCACAAAATCCTCATCCGCCTTGTTTTGACTTATGGTTCTGAGACCTGGACTACTGCAAAGGTAGATGAAAGAGACCTGCTTACTTTTGAAAAGAAAATCCTTTACTGAATCTATAGGCCCATCAGTGAGAACGAACCCTCTACAACAAGCCTGATTTATTTATTTTTTTATCAATCATCAAGACAGGAAACCTTGCATGGATGCCAGAGCAGTCAATCCCAAAGAAAATACTAACAGAATAGCTATTCGTCAGATGCAGAGTTGGTAGACCCAGACCGTGGTGGTCGGACTGTGTCGCAGGTGGAGTAAGAAATTGGACAACACAGAATAGGGACATATGGCCATTGCTGTTGGAGGAAGCCAAGACTCGTTTAAGGGTTGTTAAGCTAAATTAATTAATATTGTAAGGATTGCTAATTATATTAATTAAAAGAATTAAATATGAATGTTTTAAAAGTAAGACCTCTAATGTGATGATGACTGGCACCAGATTATTTACAATATTAATTTAAAGCTTTTCACTACGCTTCATTTCTTTTCTTAGAAATTTCTCCTAGCTTCACTGTCACCACTTTAAAAATACATGCTTATATTAACTCTAAAATAACTAATCTATCAAGTCGGGTGAACAATATTAATTAGGATCTCCAACAAGACAAAGGATTATGTGACCTGGCTCCTATTGGATTTTGTGACTCAAAGAGAAGATGCCATGTTATTAAAAATAACTAGAGAAGTTAAATTATGGATCAAAAAGAGGAGGGAAGTATGAATATTTGAGCATAGAGATGTTCTACAGGAGACTCGCAGAGGAAATACAACAGGAATACAATAGAAGAGAATGAACATTGGTCTAGGAAGGTTTTCCAATGTTAGCCATGCACATATTTGTTTGAGAAAGCATGATAAGGAGGTGAAGAAAAATTTATTTTTTCATAAACACAATAATCAGTGAACAGAAAGAAAAATGACACAGTTTAAGTTGTGTGTGCTAATTTACAGTTAATATTGTTTGTTGGAACTAACTCAACTGGCATTAGATATTATATAAACTTTAATGTCATGCCAGGGCAAGAGAAGGGCAAATTGCTTTAGAGGGCAGGACTGAGAGGGAAGCAAATTTTAATTGGAATTTTAATTTTAGGTTAAATAAAAATTTTTTTTCTAATTTTTTAGTGTTAAGAGCATTAGTGAATTTATTCACAGCCAGTGCAATCACAATTTTAAATACTAACAAATTTATAAGTATAAAAAAGAGCTCAAATAACGAGAAATAAAAAAAACAGAGGTTATCAAATGAAAAAAAAAATGGATAAACAATGTTAAAGAACTTTTAATAGCTAGAGAGAGAAGCATTATTTGCCTTGCTTAGGAGCGGCAAGCCAAAACAGTATGATAAATCTGCTTCTAGTTTTGACCTAAATTCATTCATTATAAAGAGTTACTGTAATGAGATAATTATACTTATATCAAAATATATCAACTGAAATACCAATTTAAACTGATTTTTATTTTGAAGGAGAGATGAAAAAAGGGGTAGCAAAATTAGGCTTGCTCTCTCCAGCAAAAATCCTAGTTCTGAAGTATATAACCTGACTCTGCAGTATACTCCATCTTTTTATTACTGAACCATAAATTATAATTATGTTAGCCATATGGTTTAATTTCATAAAGCAAATCCAACACCGGTGTAAATACCATATATAGGCCATTGGAGTTCAAACATTAATTCTAAAAAAGTTCCGAACAAGTAATAAGTTAAACAATTTAGTAATAACGTTGCAAGGTCTATCGAACATAAAATCATTCTTTAAACATGAATCAACTGAACATATATATAACTAGAAGCAGATTTATCATACCGTTTTGGCTTGCCACTCCCAAGCAAGGCAAATAATGCTTCTCTCTCTAGCTATTAAAAGTTCTTTAACATTGTTTAACCTTTTTTTTTTTCATTTGATAACCTCTGCTTTTTTTATTTCTCATTATTTGAGCTCTTCTTATACTTATAAATTTGTTAGTATTTAAAATTGTGATTGCACTGGCTGTGAATAAATTCACTAATGCTCATAACACTCAAAAATTAGAAAAAAAATTTTTATTTAACCTAAAATTATAACTTCAATCAAAATTTGCTTCCCTCTCAGTCCTGCCTTCTGAAGCAATTTGCCCTTCTCTTGCCCTGGCATGATATTAAAGTTTATATAATATCTAATGCCAGTTGAGTTAGTTCCAACAAACAATATAAACTGTAAATTAGCACACACAACTTAAACTGTGACATTTTTATTTCTGTTCACTGATTATTGTGTTCAAGAAAAGGTTAATTTTTCATATATATATATATTGTAAATATATAAAGATACAGAAACCATTTCTGCCTTACAAAGGAGCACACATTGTTACTTTAACTTACGGTTAACTTAATACCTAATCTTCTTATAGGAATTAGAGAGAAAAAAAGAGCACAGTTGATAGCACCCAAAGAACACCAGGATGGCTTTTACCATCTATAAGACTATTAATCCCTTAAATTAATATCGCTTATTAAGTAAAACATAGATTTTTTTTATTGTAGGAACCAATAAATAAAGTATTAATTATAATATAACTAACTTATGCTTTAAAAATAAATCATGAAAAGATTTTTTAATTGCTTTACTGGAGAGCCATTTGATAAACTATGCTAGTTATCTACCACTAAGAAACATAAACTGCTAAATTCTGCACAACCTAAACATAGTCTTCTATTCTGTAATTTTAAACCTACAAAGTCAAGCTTTTATAGCATTATGTGTCAATCCTGGTCTCTCTGACATACACTGCGTTCATCTGATGACTGTGACAGGGATAGGGAGGTTGAAACTGTTTCAAGACAGACTCCCAAACAATATAAGGCCTACTGATTTCAAGCTTACTGATAGGAGTTAAAATGTTAAAAATATGTTTACAATTTTAAATAATAAGAGTATCAAATTAGGTTTAAATTAGTAAAACCATTTTTCTCTATAAAAAGTGGCTATGTATCTACAATTTTGATCTTCCTCCACTTTGTTTTATGATAGCAGATGGCAGGTTGATATAGCTAAAAGCTTACTAATATTTCTAACAAAAAAATAAAAATAAGTAATAAACAGACAGTAATAACCCACATAAATAGTTTATTTATAAGATTAAACCCTAATAAGGGATGGTCT